AAATACTTTTAGATTACATGATATAAAACTTCTTTTTATGCAAAAATAATGTCTTTCAAAATGTAAATACTGAATTTTTTTCTCTTAAAAATAATAATTTTTAAATTCTGCAATTCATAAGTCAAAAAGAAATATAAGTTGCACAGTTTTAAAGTAAAAACAATCTAATAGTCATGTTTTACAATCAGAGAAAGAATTTTCGTTTTTATGAATGTGCAGAAGAAAAATATGGGATATATTGGGTTGGATGATCTCAAACAAATATGTAAAGGCCCAAACTCAATTGGAGTTGGGCCTAGGGCCCACGACGAGCCGTGGCCTTTCATATACACTAATGGATACCCTCATCGCGTCTTTTCCCGCACTCTCTCGACGATCGTCTTCGCCTGGGTTTCCTTTGGTGAGTTCTCCCCTTCCTCGGTTATCGATATTATTGTAGATCTTCAAACCCTACTTCTACACGCACCACAACTTTTGGTACTTCTTCTTTCTAACGGTAATAATTTCCCCATTCAGTGTTATTTGTTTCGACGAAATTCTTGTCCACTCTGTTGACCATTTTTTACTTAAAATAAAATTTTGGGGGGAAAGTCGGCAATTGGGTTAAGATTAAAATTATAGTTGTTAAACGTTCAAACATTGCATCGGATTAAACTATCGATGTTCATCATGATCACATCTGGTGAAAGACTGGTTATACGAATTGTTTTTTATTATTTTGTTGGGAAGTAATTTGTAGGTTTTATGTTAGATTTTTTATTTATGTTTTGGGTTGTGTGGGTTTCGTGTCATAGGATTTAATGTGATTCGTGAATTGATTTCACTTGAAGGATAATTAATCAAACGAAGATATACTGGTGGATATGAATAAGTGTATTAGGTTTAAATAATGGTTACATTTTTTGGTCCATAGATTTGAACCACCAGTGTTTGAAGACTTTCTCTCCGACTAGTTCTGCTCGGCCGGGAACTAAGAAAAGTCTGGCTAAATATTGCGCCAAGGATCGACCTTAGATTCTAGTGATTGATGTATTCATTACGTTGCTATAACTTTCATGTTCTAATGATCGATGTATTCATTTTGGAAGATTGTTTGTTTTAATTGAGAATGCAGCTGTCGGCATTTATCATTTGTTTGGTTGTCTACAGTTTGGTACATCCTGATAAATAGGATCGAAAATTTACGAATAATTCCTTAAAATTTTCATCCCCAGTTTTATTGGTAGGCGAAAATATCTTGGGGACATATGAGGGGCAAACTCCTGTGTTTCCCTCCTTTTGTCATTNTTTTTTTGGTCCATAGATTTGAACCACCAGTGTTTGAAGACTTTCTCTCCGACTAGTTCTGCTCGGCCGGGAACTAAGAAAAGTCTGGCTAAATATTGCGCCAAGGATCGACCTTAGATTCTAGTGATTGATGTATTCATTACGTTGCTATAACTTTCATATTCTAATGATCGATGTATTCATTTTGGAAGATTGTTTGTTTTAATTGAGAATGCAGCTGTCGGCATTTATCATTTGTTTGGTTGTCTACAGTTTGGTACATCCTGATAAACAGGATCGAAAATTTACGAATAATTCCTTAAAATTTTCGTCCCCAGTCTTATTGGTAGGCGAAAATATCTTGGGGACATATGAGGGGCAAACTCCTGTGTTTCCCTCCTTTTGTCATTAAAGATAAAGTTTCAACAAGAAGTCAATGAAATGTTTTGGTGCCTCATCTCTTTTACTTCTCTTGCTTTGTTTTATTAAATCATGCTATCAGATCGATAAAGTTTAACTGGCCTCTTTTGAACTGTCTCCAATTTACATATTTAATATATTTAAATATTTAAAAATCGATGTTTTGTAGTTTGTAGAATTGACAAGCCTAAAGACACACTCAAATGGCTGGTCCTAGGATTGCCCATGCTACCTTGAAAGGTCCAAGTGTGGTAAAGGAGATATTAATTGGAATAACACTCGGCATTGCTGCTGGTAGTGTGTGGAAGATGCACCACTGGAATGAGCAGAGGAAAATCAGGACCTTCTACGATTTACTTGAAAAAGGTGAGATCGGTGTTGTTGTGGAGGAACAGTAGAACTGTTCTTGCTTTGTTGCCTATGCTCTTCATATATATAGGCTTTTTTCCCCTGCTATATTCAATTGGCTCTTTAAATGTAAATGAGCCAACTAACTGATGAGATTGAAAAGAATAAGTTTCTTGCACTGATTGAGTACTATGTCGCCTTGTAAAATTTCATACAGTTATGCTTTAATTTTATGATTGGATTATTCTCTTCTTGTTGCACAGCTGTAGATGTTTTTATTTTCTGTTTTATTGTTTTCTGCATATTTTTGGTCACATGTTAAGAACTCAATCAATTCCTTTTTGGAAGTTGCTAGATGTAATATATTATTATGTTAGTATATGCTGTTCGACTACGTTTGGGCTTGTTGCAATTGCACTTGGGCTTGACTTAGAAAATTAGTGTAAGGGTAACGATCAGTATTTTATTTCCTTTCCTTTCCATCTTATCCCTGAATTTCAAAAACTAGTACCATTGGATTATGTAAATAGGCATCAGTTCATCCAGGATATAAAATCCCTCCAAAACGTGGTATATTCCAATTCTAGAATAAAAACTTTAAATTTCTGTGTAATATTTGTCTTCAAGGAGTGATTCTTAGTGCAATAGTAGGTTGTTTATGGCTTGCAGCTGTAAGACCGTATATGTACCCTCTCCAAATCACACACTTGTTTAGAGCCTCATACATTAGGCTACCCTATTTAATATACTAGTCTCCCTACCGGTGAGAAAAAAAATATTTTTACTTAATATATTAAGATAGCTAATTTTATAGCTTCAGGGTTTTGATGTTTTCGTAAAAATGGAAGTAATTGGCTGATTGCATTAGCTGTTACTATTCACAGCTAGTAGATTCAGTCTTATTAGAGTCACTCCCACAGCCCCTTTTGCAGCCACGCGTCAAACCCAACCCTTTCTTTTTCTTTCCAAACCCAATGCAACAAACAAGAGGAAGTTTTGATTGACACAACGAGGGGAAGATTTGATTGTCTTGAATGAAAAACAATCTTGAAAATTTTGAACTTAATGCTTGTTCCTGTGGAGAAAATGTGGGAAGAATGAGATGCTGCGAGAAGTTGATCAAATATGTGAGTGGAAAGGAAGAACAGAGGTGCAGAGATAAAGAATATGATGATTCTTTATTTAGGTTTAATTCCTCTGTGTCATTTTCCTTTTTTATTATTTAGGTTTAATTGTTACAACATGGGTTACTAACATCATACAATTAACGTTGTCAATGAAAAAATTAACGAAATGAACTTAATTGATGTATACATTAAACTAAGTGTGGATGAAGTTCGTATTTTTAAAAAATGGAGATCAAATTGACACACAACATTAAACCTTTCCGAGATAAAAGTGTTTGAAGTTGACTCCAACATGATTTATTTTATTTACGAGACAACTTGAGTTGTTTTACATTTAAAGAACAGATGTTTAAAACTCTCTTCATTTTTAACATTGTTAACAAACCATAAACCTTGGTGGCTACTATTCCACGTACAATACGTAGATCGCTCCACCATCAGAATTCGTTATGTGCTCTATTGGATTCATTTAAGTTTTTCCAAGATTCATATTTAGATTTTAATACTTCTTTCCACAAACCTTGGTTATCCATACTTATTCTCCATTTTCATTTTGCAAAAGAACTTTGTTGAAGTTTTCAATATTTCTAATTCCCAGTCTTTCTTCATCCTTAATTTTTGTATAAAATTTCCTATTTATTCCAAACTATATTTTTTTCCTCAGTTTTCCATCTCCAAATAAAGTTTCTTTATACTTATAAAAACTTATTACATACTGACACTTTAAAGAAAGAGAAATAGTAGATACACGAAATGTCAGAATTTATAAGATATATACTATCCGTGAAGGATAACAATCTACTTTTCCATATATGTACTTTTCACAATATGCTAAAACGGAAATATTTTAATTAATTATTATTATGTAGCTTTAACATAAACAATTATAATTATATAAATATATAATTTAACGTTTAAATGGAGAAAATTTTAGAAGCATTAACAAAAATATTTAGTAAAAGCTATAAGAATTTGATGGTTCTCTGTATATTCAAAACGTAGATATAATAACAAAATATATTGGGCTGGCGTGTAGAAGAAGGTATGTGTGCCCATTTTTCTCTTTTTCACACCGACAAGTACGCATGTAATATATACATCTAGTAGAGTTATTATTTTATTTTCCATAGAGTTGAAGAAATAAACCTTAACTTTTAATTTAAATAGTTATATATTCAAAGAGTGTATTTTTTTTTCCCAAGTCAAAGTAACTTGCGAGTTATTTGTTTCTTTCTGAGAAGACAATCTGCAACAGGGTTACAGATTACAGAATTTATTACAGTATAATAATTATGTGATTAGTTCAAAATTATTTCACAATTAATAATAATAATCATAAATATCAATATAGACTCTAGTCACGAAATAAAAAGTAAATAGTGTCAAAATATTGTCAAAAAAATATTATTAAAGTATTATTATTCTTTACTACAATCGATTAATTAACAATCAATACATATGTTAAAAAATAAAAATTTATAAAATATATGATGTAATAAATAAAATCAAGATACACGTGTGTATTTTTTTATAGATAATAATGGTTGATAATATTACTCTAAACGAATAAAAAGAAATAAAAAGGAGTTTACATTTGGAAGAAGCACGCAATAGATTAGATTAGATATATAGATAGCCAACGTTTTGTAACTACTTTGTTTGTCATGTTTTAGGCAACTATCACAACATCTGGTTGGCTATAATGTGAGAGCGTCAATGATATTTTCGCGTCCAAACACAAAAGCTTTCGGGAGCAGCAAAATATCAAGATTTTAATAGCAGTCCAACATTCTAGAACCTCCTTATGAAGAAACCGAACCAAACGCAACTAAGGTTGGAAAGAGCAATGTCTGTGCATGTGTTCTCTTGACAAAATGAAAATATCTGTTGTGCTAGAAAACAAAGAAAGGTTAAGTGTTGGACGTGGAAGACAACATGTGGTTGTGAGAAGATAAGTAATATGCGTACACATATTCATCAGCGTTGGTTATATATACCTAACTAAATCGCCGCTATCCCCTCACAAAACCTCTTCATTGCAGAGTTAGTCGTTTCAGCTAAGAAAAGAGGAACAAAACAATGGCAACAATAGCAGGTGGTGTCAGTCTTTCGAGCCCAAGGAGAGTATTTGCTAATGCCAAGGGATCAAACTCTGCGCCAAAGGCCCAGGCAATTAGCTTCCCACTCTTCAGGCCCACACATAAGTGGCCCGCTTTGGTAGGGGTGGGGAAGGCCCGGCTCATTCGTGCAACGCCGGAAAAGATAGCGGATAAGGTGGAGGAGAGCATAAAGAGCGCGGAGGAGGCCTGCTCGGGAGGCGGGACTGACGCGGAATGCGCGGCGGCTTGGGATGAGGTGGAGGAGCTGAGCGCTGAGGCTAGCCACGCCAGAGCGAAGCAGAAGGAGTCTGACCCGCTGGAGAGCTACTGCAAGGATAACCCCGAAACCGATGAGTGCCGCACTTATGATAATTAAGTTATCTTGTGTTACATGTTTCAATGAATCCACTTGTATTAATTAATTCTTATTTATAAATTATACCAATAATTCAAACTCTGCCACTCTTCCCAGTGGTTGTGTTGTGGTGGATGCTTAGGTGCAACTTTTATATACTTGTAAATGTCAACACTTCAACGTAAATGATGCAAATGGTGACTTGTACACCAAAACATTTTTAATAAACTTACCACATGAATAGCTGAAATTTTGAATTTGTTTATATTATTAAAAATATTAAGGTTTAGTGAGATGGAACATATAGAGTGCGTTTTGTATAAAAAATAAAAGTGATCGTGGTTTTTGTCATTGGTTGTTCAACATGATTAGGTCATTAAGGATTGTCAGGATTATTGTAGTTTTTATATATTTTTTAATTTATTTTAGATTTTATTTTAAAAATTTATAAAACATTTTTTTAGATATCTACATATGATGGTTCTATAATATTTATGTGTATTTTTTAAATGGATATCCGACAGATATTTACATGAAATCTATACAGAGAATCAAGAAATTAAAGTACAATTCAAGAATTTCTCGTGGGACAATTCAAAATATATCTTTATGAAACTTGCCGTGTGAATAGAAAACATCAAAATGTTATTCGATTGTTCTATTTAGGGTGTATGTTCATCTAGAGTTATAGAGCTTACAAAATTGGAGTCAAACTATAAAATCATATTTATTAAGTGAATAAAGCAATATATTTGTAAGTTGTCAAATTCTTACGAAGGTCAAAAGCAATCTTGGTTACCGATAAATTCAATATAAATCCAATTTTAATATCTCAATTCTACACGAAATGAGGTTAAACCGTCATTGTTTTCCATGATGAAGAAAAATTTTCATCTAAAAGAAAATCAAAGTGTTAACTCAGATATACTCATCCACTATCCTGATTATGATTAAATAATTTAAATTATGTTACATAAGTCTCAATGTGGATGCATATTACACAACCAATATTGCACTTGTACTCTCTCAAAATCATTTGGGCTCAAGATTAGGATCTGAATAGGGTATTTAAGAGGTCCTTCTTTTCTTTCTTTAATTTAATTTTGGGTTTTGGAAAATACCTTATCCTCTTCATAGTACTTCCATTCTAATAAATTTATTTATTTATCCATAAAACGTAAACCAGCTCGCATGATAACGGAAGGAATTAAAATAGTCAGAGCTTGAGTTTCTGATATTTGTTTGCACTTGAAAATGTTAGAATAAAAGTGTGGACCAAGAGATGATGCAAGCTGAGGATTAAAATAAAATATTAGATTAAAAAAAGTTTAGCTAACTACACACAATGTGATTACTAGGATGCTCAAAGAAACAAATTATCACGAGATATTATCAAGAATAAACTTAAGAAGATATTCCAAAAACAATTGAAGATGAATATGAAATAACAGAAAGACAAATTCAAAAGAAAAGATTATATTATAAAAAGAATAATGTATATATTAGTGCAGTCAAGGAAAACGATAGTGGTTATTTTTGCTTATAGGCACCGGTTCCGCAATCGAAGCATATACAGGCGAAGTAAAAAAGGGTAGTTTTTTGCCTCGATTATAAACCGAGTCAAAAGGGTTTGGATTCTGCCTCAGTTCATAGACAACTGAGGCAGTAGAGTGTTTTTAATTTTTTTAATCTCAACCGAGATCACTTGTTGGTTCCTCATTTTGTTCTGTTTTTCTATGCTTTTTTGTTTTCTCTTTTCCTTCGCTTTGTGCCTTAAATTTCTCTCTCTCTCTCTCTCTCTCTCTCTCTCTCTCTCTCTTTTAATCTCAAGTCGTGACTAACAATGCTTACCCTGGAATTTTATTTCATCCATGTTTTTACACAAGTGGGGGCAAAAATACTTGATCCTTTGAGGAAGAAAATTACTTTTGACAAACTCAAAGGACAGTGTCCTGTTGAATATTTAACTCCATTGCATCAATTGTAATCATACATTTGTGCATCCATTGCATCCACAAACATTCTGCACAAATTATGGTTTAAATCAGTTATTTAATTCTCAAACAAGTTACAAAGAGATCAATTTTCTTATTTTGCGAAATGAACTTTGTTTATTCCTGGAGAACATTACAAATTCCAAAAAGGATCTAGTAGGCAGAGCCCAACTCTGCATGACAGACCATGTATCACCATCTACAGGCATTGGTGGCAAAGAATCTTTTCACCCATGCATTCTCCCTATGGCTTTTGAGAAAGCAAACCTTCGCTCAAACTCAAGAAGCTCCAGAGCCGTGATCAGAAACCTTCGCTCAAATCACAATTTCTTTCCAGACAAACTCTAACCTGCACTAACAACCCAGATTTTCAACCCCAATTATCACCATCCACCCCAAGACCTTTTCCAGCGATAGAAGAGAGATTGTCCTTAGCCTTCACATAAAAAATCAAAGTTGCATGTATTTAATTTTTGTTATAAAGAATCACCTTTTCCAGGAAGAACTGAAAGCACATGGGTGACAGAAAACTTCCAAGTGCTGGAATACAGTGGCAAAGATCGAATTTATGGCATTAACCTACTTGCATGATGTACTATATGAAATATACCGATCGGAATTGATTGTCATTAAGCAGGTACTAATAGGTCAGATTGTCATATGCTCTACAAATATATTGCATTAATGATTAATTATTGGGTTTGATTACCTAAAATATATTGCACTAATGGTAATGAATGGAGGTGGCTGTCACAAGCCTTATAAGTAGACAACTGATGTTCAGGTACAATAATCTTCTTCTATCCTAATAAAATAATAAAATATAGACCTCTTTATGAAACATATATGACTTGAGCGTCGGAATGTCTTATGCAGGTCAACCACCAATCCAGAAGGATTACTTGAAGAGTTGGCCGATCGGAGCATAGCAAGGAAGGACGACCGACCATCGGACAATTGTTACAGAAACATTTTGGCGCCCACCGTGGGGCCGAGCGGCATCCCCATGAAGCCACGAAGAACCAGACACGCGCTAGGTCTTGACATCGCTATTCAGATCAACACCAGGTTTTGTAACAAGAGTAAAAAATTCCGTAATAATTCCTAAAGGCATGACTTTTGTTTTGAGAACTTTCAGAACGTTCAACCTTACATTCAACCTTCACAGGTTCCAGTTTTCATTATAATTCACAAATTATAATATATTTATTTAACTCATATTTTTGTGTGTAAAAATATCCTCCACAGAAAGGTACAGAGTTGCGATCAACCTTGTCAGGTTCTACCAACTCTTAATTTTAAATTATAAAATATTATGCACAGGATGGTTCAAAGCTGCATTCAACCTTGCCAAGTTCTATCAACTCTTAATCTTAAATTATAAAATATCTTGCACAGGATGGTTCAAAGCTGCGTTCAACCTTGCTAGGTTCTACCAACTCTTAACCTTGCTAGGTTCTACCAACTCTTAATTTTAAATTATAAAATATTATGCACAGGATGGTTCAGAGTTGCGTTCAACCTTGTCAGGTTCTACCAACTCTTAATTTTAAATTATAAAATATCCTGCACAGGAAGTTACAGAGCTGCGTTCAACCTTGTCAGGTTCTACCAAATCTTAAATTATAAAATATTATGCACAGGAAGGTACAAAGCTGCGTTCAACCTTGTCTGGTTCTACCAACTCTTAAATTATAAAATGCACAGGATGGTTCAAAGTTGTGTTCAACCTTGTCAAGTTCTACCAACTCTTAATTTAAATTATAAAATATCTTCCACAGGAAGGTACAGAGCTGTGTTCAACCTTTTCAGGTTCTATCAACTCTTAAATTATAAATATTATGCACATGATGGTTCAGAGCTGCGTTCAACCTTGTCAGGTTCTAATGACTCTTAATTTTAAATTATAAAATATTATGTGCAGGAAGGTTCAGACCTCAACTTGGTCAACTATAATGGCCGCTCAGGGGAAGTCAGAAAAATGGCTTCAGAAATCCCCGCTCAACGCAGGAAGTCAAAAAAATGACTCCTGCCTCAAGATCGCTCAGGAAGAAGTCAGAAAAATGGCTTCAGAAATCCCTGCNTTGTATTAATTAATTCTTATTTATAAATTATACCAATAATTCAAACTCTGCCACTCTTCCCAGTGGTTGTGTTGTGGTGGATGCTTAGGTGCAACTTTTATATACTTGTAAATGTCAACACTTCAACGTAAATGATGCAAATGGTGACTTGTACACCAAAACATTTTTAATAAACTTACCACATGAATAGCTGAAATTTTGAATTTGTTTATATTATTAAAAATATTAAGGTTTAGTGAGATGGAACATATAGAGTGCGTTTTGTATAAAAAATAAAAGTGATCGTGGTTTTTGTCATTGGTTGTTCAACATGATTAGGTCATTAAGGATTGTCAGGATTATTGTAGTTTTTATATATTTTTTAATTTATTTTAGATTTTATTTTAAAAATTTATAAAACATTTTTTTAGATATCTACATATGATGGTTCTATAATATTTATGTGTATTTTTTAAATGGATATCCGACAGATATTTACATGAAATCTATACAGAGAAACAAGAAATTAAAGTACAATTCAAGAATTTCTCGTGGGACAATTCAAAATATATCTTTATGAAACTTGCCGTGTGAATAGAAAACATCAAAATGTTATTCGATTGTTCTATTTAGGGTGTATGTTCATCTAGAGTTATAGAGCTTACAAAATTGGAGTCAAACTATAAAATCATATTTATTAAGTGAATAAAGCAATATATTTGTAAGTTGTCAAATTCTTACGAAGGTCAAAAGCAATCTTGGTTACCGATAAATTCAATATAAATCCAATTTTAATATCTCAATTCTACACGAAATGAGGTTAAACCGTCATTGTTTTCCATGATGAAGAAAAATTTTCATCTAAAAGAAAATCAAAGTGTTAACTCAGATATACTCATCCACTATCCTGATTATGATTAAATAATTTAAATTATGTTACATAAGTCTCAATGTGGATGCATATTACACAACCAATATTGCACTTGTACTCTCTCAAAATCATTTGGGCTCAAGATTAGGATCTGAATAGGGTATTTAAGAGGTCCTTCTTTTCTTTCTTTAATTTAATTTTGGGTTTTGGAAAATACCTTATCCTCTTCATAGTACTTCCATTCTAATAAATTTATTTATTTATCCATAAAACGTAAACCAGCTCGCATGATAACGGAAGGAATTAAAATAGTCAGAGC